CGGGAGATGGAAAAAGATGCTTGGTCGGTCCTCCTTCTTCAAATTTGGGGCACTGCACGTGCAATCTAATGTGCCACCAGATAGGAGTGGTGTGTTAAGTAGTACTATTCTTATCATTTTAATCCCAATGTCATGACTACTAGTGTGGTCCAGCACGCAGAAACTATGTAAACATATACATAGGCAAGAAAAGGAAAATAAAAGGACAGAGCGTAAACCAGACCTTAGAACGGCCAGACTAATACGCTAGAGACAGAGAATGGTCAAAGGGAAAGCCGAGGTCAAGGAAGCCAAAAAATACACAATAACATTTACACAAGCCAAGTCAGGGAAACCAGAATTCAGAATAACCAGGGAAAAGCCAAGATCAGGATACCAGGAAATCAGATTCACAATGATAAAGCACTCTCAGGAAACCAGGAACAGGAAACCACGACAGGGCAAGGTAAAGGGGTGAGCTAGGGATTTAAATATCATGCGGCGGGCCGGCAGCCGCAACACTCTGTTACGTCCCCCTCATCAGGCCTTTTTTAGTCGAATGTATCACCCACTGTCACTCCCTTCGGGATCCATCCCTCATTCATCTTAATAAAGGTGAGGTAATCTAAACTTTTTTGACCTAGGCGACTTCTCTTCTCAGTGACAATACCTCCTGCTGCACTGAAGGTCCTGTCTGACAGGACACTTGAAGCGGGGCAGGCCAGACGTTCTATCGCAAATTGGGATAGCTCAGGCCACAGGTCAAGCCTGCACACCCAGTAGTCAAGGGGTTCATCGCTCCTCAGAGTGTCGATATCTGCAGTTAAGGTGAGGTAGTCTGCTACCTGTCAGTCGAGTCGTTCTCTGAGGGTGGACCCCGAAGGGCTGTGGCAATGCGTAGGACTTAAAAAGCTCTGCATGTCCTCCATCAACAGCACGTCTGTAAAGCGTCCTGTCCTTGCCGGCGTGGTCGTGGGAGGAGGAGGATTACTTTCACCTCTTCCCCTGTTAGATTCCCGTTGTGCTGTGACAACACCCTTATACGCTGTGTAAAGCATACTTTTTAATTAATTTTGGAAATGCTGCATCCTTTCTGACTTGCCGTAATTCGGTAACATTTCAGGCACTTTCTGCTTATACCGGGGGTCTAGTAGCGTGGACACCCAGTACAGGTCGTTCTCCTTCAGCCTTTTTATACGAGGGTCCCTCAACAGGCACGACAGCATGAAAGACCCCATTTGCACAAGGTTGGATGCCGAGCTACTCATGTCCTGTTCCTCGTCCTCAGTGATCTCACTGAAGGTATGTTCTTCCCCCCAGCCACGTACAACACCACGGGTACCAGATAGGTGACAACGAGCACCCTGGGATGCCTGTTGTGGTTGGTCTTCCTCCTCCTCCTCAAAGCCACATTCCTCCTCTGACTCCTCTTCCTCACAATCCTCTTCCAGCGTTGCCGCAGGTCCAGCAAGCGATGCTGATAAGGCTGTTTCTGGTGGTGATGGTGACCACAACTCTTCCTCTTCACGCTCATCTATGGACTGATCCAGCACTCTTCGCAGGGCACGCTCCAGGAAGAAAACAAATGGTATGATGTCGCTGATGGTGCCTTTGGTGCGACTGACTAGGTTTGTCAGCTCCTCAAAAGGACGCATGAGCCTACAGGCATTGTGCATGAGCGTCCAGTAACGTGGCAAAAAATGTCCCAGCTCCGCAGAGGCTGTCCTAGCACCCCGGTCATACAAATACTCGTTAACAGCTTTTTCTTGTTGGAGCAGGCGGTCGAACATTAGGAGTGTTGAATTCCAACGTGTCGGGCTGTCGCAAATCAAGCGCCTCACTGGCATGTTTTTTCGCCACTGGATTTCTGAAAAGTGTGCCATGGCCGTGTAGGAACGCCTGAAATGGCCACACACCGTCCTGGCCTGCTTCAGGACTTCCTGTAAGCCTGGGTACTTATGCACAAAGCGTTGTACGATCAGATTACACACATGTGCCATACACGGCACATGTGTCAACTTGCCCAAATGCAATGCCACCAACAAATTTCTTCCATTGTCACAAACCACTTTGCCGATTTCCAGTTGGTGCGGAGTCAGCCACTTATCCACCTGTGCGTTCAGGGCGGACAGGAGTGCTGGTCCGGTGTGACTCTCTGCTTTCAGGCAAGTCAACCCCAAGACGGCGTGACACTGCCGTATCCGGGATGTGGAATAGTACCTGGGGAGCTGGGGGGTGCCGTTGATGTGGAGCAAGACGCAGCAGCAGAAGAGGACTCAGCCGAGGAGGTTATGGAAGAGGATGGAGTAGGAGGAGTAGAGGAGGTGGCAGCAGGCCTGCCTGCAAGTCGTGGCGGTGTCACCAACTCCTCTGCAGAGCCACGCATTCCATGCTTGGCAGCCGTCAGCAGGTTTACCCAATGCGCAGTGTAGGTGAAATACCTGCCCTGACCATGCTTTGCAGACCAGGTATCAATGGTCAGATGGACCCTTGCCCCAACACTGTGTGCCAGACATGCCATTACTTCCTTTTGCACAATCGAGTACAGGTTGGGGATTGCCTTTTGTGCAAAGAAATTTCATCCGGGTACTTTCCACTGCGGTGTCCCAATAGCTACAAATTTTTTGAACACCTCAGACTCCACCAGCTTGTATGGTAAAAGCTGGCAGGCTAAGAGTTCAGTCAAGCCAGCTGTCAGACGCCGGGCAAGGGGGTGACATTGGCTTCTTACTCTCAAACATGTCCTTGACAGACACCTGACTGTGGGCAGATGAGCAGGAACTGCTCAAGGCGAGAGACGGAGGGGCGGATGGTTGAGAGGGGGCAAGGAGGACAGCAGTGGTTAACGTGGCTGAAGATGCTGGACCAGGAGGAGGATGGCGGCTTTGAGTTTGTGTGCTGCTTGTACTCATGTGTTGATCCCATAGGCGTTTATGATGTGTGATCATGTGCCTTCGCAAAGCAGTTGTTCCTAGGTGGGTGTTGGACTTCCCATGACTCACTTTATTTTGGCACAGGTTGCAAATGGCATCGCTGTTGTCAGAGGCAGACACACCAAAAAAATGCCACACTACTGAGCTCTGCAATGACGGCATTCTGGTGGTGGACACAGCATGCGTTGATTGGCGTGCTGTCTGGCTTACCCCGGTTGCCGATGCATCCGACTCGTCTCCTCCTCCTCCTCTCTGTCTCCCCATCTGATCTCCACGGACGCATCGTCAACATCAACGGCTTCACTTGTATCTGACAACTCAGCAAAGGAAGCAGCAGCGGGTACAACATCATCATCATCACATCGTACACCCATGTATGTAATGCTGCCTTACAGAGACATATCCCTGTTATCTACATCCTCTGGCAATAATGGTTGCGCATCACTCATTTCTTCCAACTGATGTGTAAATAACTCCTCTGACATACCAAGTGAAGCTGCTGTTGTGCTAGTGTTGGTGGTGGCGGCAGGCGGGTGACTGGTAACTTGAGAGGTACCCGAAGCTAAGCTGGAGGAGGATGGTGCATCAAGGTTCCGAGCGGAAGCTGTAGAAGATTGGATGTCCTGTGTTTGCCAGTCAACTATGTCCTCAGAACTTTTCGAGTTCAAGGTACATGGCCTCTGAAGACTGGGCATTATTCTAGGGCCAAAGGAAATAACAGCACCACGACCAAGACGGCCCCTGTGGGGTGACCTGCCTCTGCCTGTTCTTTTTTTTTTTGATTAGTGGTACTATGCGTGCAAGCTACTGTGACATCAGATATGAGTGGCACTGTGCAGTGGCAGAAGTTGGCAGAATACACGCTGTAGGCCTGACACACACGCTTGCAGACAACTAACTGCTATTCAATCTATTACAGACAGTTTTTTTTTTTAAATGTACACTACTGTTACACCAGATATGAGTTGCACTGGTGTGACACTGTGCCCTGGCAGGCCCTGAAACGCACACGCGTGAAGGAAACTAACTGCTATTATATTATAGTCCAAAAAGTTTTTTTTTTTTAAATGCAAGCTATTGGGTCACCAGTGAGTGAGTGGTGGCACTGGGCAGGCCCTGAAACGCACACTTGTGAAGTAAACTGACTCCCATTATATTACAGTCAAAAAAGTTTTGTTTTTTTTAAAGGCAAGCTATTGGGACACCAGTGAGTGAGTGGTGGCACTGGGCAGGCCCTGAAACGCACACTCGTGAAGGAAACTGACTGCTATTATATTACAGTCCAAAAAGTTTAGTTTTTTTTAAATGCAAGCTATTGGGACACCAGTGAGTGAGTGGTGGCACTGGGCAAGTGGGCACAGTATATGCTGTGAGCCTGACACACAGGCTGGCTGGCAGGCAGCTGCAATTACATTACACAGAATAAAAAAGCTGTCTGATGTTCTAGCCCTAAAAAGGGCTTTTTGGGGTGCTGTCCTTACAGCATAGATCAGATGAGTCCTTCAGGACTGTAGTGGACACTGAATACACTAGCCTAGCTATCAATTTCCCTATCAAATGAGCAGCAGCTACACTGTCCCTCCTCTCACTAAGAATGCAGCTTCACAATGAATGTAAAATGGATGCCGTCCAGGAGGTGGGAGGGTCTGGGTAGGAGGGTCTGCTGCTGATTGGCTGGAATGTGTCTGCTGACTGTGAGGTACAGGGTCAAAGTTTACTCAATGATGACGAATAGGGGGCGGACCGAACAGCGCATATGTCCTACGCTTCCTGTCCTTTACTTTTGTTCTTTCAATAAATAAACACCTGATGATATAAACAAAGTATGCACAAATTGTATCTTTAACCCCTTAAGGACACATGACATGTGTGACATGTCATGATTCCCTTTTATTCCAGAAGTTTGGTCCTTAAGGGGTTAATGGCAGAAGAATCACAAAAGTGAAAGTATGCACACATTGTACCTTTAATGGCAGAAGAATCACAAAAGTGCATGGTCTAATTAAAATGTATTTTTTTTTTTTTTCTATCCAGGTATGGCAGAAAAGATTGCATCAGGAAATAAGTCGTATATTACTGAATTCACAGTTCAAGGCCTTTCAGACTTACCACAGCTTCAGTTTCCTCTATTTGTAGCATTTGTACTTGTCTACACTACCATTGTGTTGAGTAATCTGGTCATTTTTGTATCTGTAATCTGTTGCTCCCATTTACACACTCCCATGTACATGTTCTTGTGCAATCTTTCAGTGCTTGATATCTCTTACACCTCGACTATTCTACCCAAACTGTTGGTCATGCTCTTCACACAATGTAAGACCATATCCTTTGTAGAGTGCATGATTCAGGTGTATTTCTTCATGTTTTTTGTCTGTACAGAAGTTCTTGTTTTGTCTGCAATGGCTTACGATCGTTATATAGCAATCTGTTTTCCCCTCAGTTACTTTCACTTTATGAGCCCCAATCACTGTACTACGCTGATAGTGGCAGTATGGATAATTGGTTTAATAGAGCCACTTTTGCATACTGTCTTTATTTGTAACTCAACCTATTGTTCTTCACACCACATTGACCATTTTTTCTGTGATGTTTCTCCATTGATGAAACTTTCTTGCAGTTATACCTTAATCATTGAGATCTGGACATATATTTTGGGGTTTCTCATCGGAATATGTATGTTTACATTTATAGTAATATCATATGTGTTTATTATCTCTGCTATCCTAAATATTAAATCGGCAGGTGGTCGACATAAAGCCTTTTCTACCTGTGCCTCCCACATGACCTGTGTTATCATCTTTTATGGAACAATGTTTTGTTTGTATATAAAGCCAACATCTATGTATTCACCAAGGCAGGACAAGTTTTATGCCTTATTGTACGTTATACTTATTCCACTACTGAATCCTCTTATTTACACCCTAAAGAATAAAGACTTCAAACAGGTCTTCAAACTATTTCAACTCAATTTTATTTTAATAAAGAGGTATGCACTAGCAAAATTACATTTTTGAAAAAATAAAACACACTAATAATGAACTATATTAAGATTCTATCTAAGGAATTGTTTTCTGAAACTGCAATACATATGCTTTTTCTCTTTATATTTCCTAAAAGTAAATGTTTTGATTTTTGTATAATTTAGTTGTGGACAAATCAGTTATTTTTCAGAAAGCTTATATTTTTAGAGGCTATGCCTATCCTGTTTCCTCCAAGAAATGATATGTGGCCAATTCACCTAATGTTTAACAATGCATTGATTAATAATTTTTTTGGTAATATCCCTGTAGTGTGTAAATGTTTTACTTCAATAGTCCAACACCACAGAGTAATTAAACTCTAATGAACAAAAGATAAAAATAAATTTTCAAAAATCAGAAAGATCTTTCAGCAGAAAGATGATGAGTTTACTATGTTGGAGACAATGAATAAAAAAAATAATGTGACCAGGACCTTACTCTGTGTAATGGTTTGTGTTAGTTGGGTTTTAGTGTCAGCCATTTTTCCTTTTTTTTAATTTAGATTTATGTTTGGTTAAAAATGTCGAATTTGTGTTTTTGAATGTAAAATGAAATAATAAAAATATTCTTAAGGCACCTCTAAAAATTAAACTGTAAGAAACAAACACTTAGTTTTAGTAGATAAAAGTGTTAATAAAAAAATGACACAATAATATAAGATTAGATACTTCCATATCTTCTCCTTCACCCCATTTTTTCTTTCTTGTTAAATTAATTGGTGAACTTTATTTCACTGGCATATTTAAGTTGCTTTAGATTAAAAATGAAAACAAAATGAGAGTAGAACTTGGCATATAATGTAAATACTGCTATTAAGTTTATGTAATGTTTTATATTTTAAACATCTTTATTATACCTGAAAGTTTTATGCTGTTAAAATTTGTTTTATATTGTTTTGAATTCTTTAGATATGTCTGTAGTAACTTTGATGTATGACCAACTCTGTACCACATGTCTCATTTCAATAAGAAACTAAAAAAAAAAAATTACAATAATATGCTACCCTTTGTACTTCATATTGTACAGCTCAGCTTTACATTAAAAGTGTAAAATTAGGATGTTCTCACCAAGATAAGCTCAAAATAATCTTGTGCACATAATCCTCCTCTTCATTTGCACATAATCATTTAGTTTGCTTGATTACACCTGAATACACATTATTTCATGTAACACAATAATATGTTACTGGGTACAGATACAGAATAATAATTCAATTGTAGATTATAAATAAAAAGTGACATTTTGTAGGAAATAATATTTTATTTTCAATCTCCTCCTTGTTAAACTCGGCTTATACTTGAGTCAATGTCTGTATTATAGCAACTTACATTGCCATAATACAGACCAGGTCCGCTGGGCTGTTACTTACCTTCCTGCAGCTCCTGTCAGCTCCCTTCTCCTCCGTGCAGCTCCCTGTCAGCTCCGTTCTGCTTACAGTGTAAGTCTCGCGACACCCGCGGGAGTCAGAGCGTTGCCACGGGTTACGGGTTACGGCACACAGACCGCGAGACTTACACTGTAAGCAGAATGGAGCTGACAGGGGAGCTGCATGGAGGAGAAGGGAGCTAACAGGAGCTGCAGGAAGATAAGTAACAGCTCTCTGCCAGCCACCCCCTCCACTGCACAGCCCATCTACTGGACCACCAGGGATTAACATAGCCCCCTCCCTGGCCAGGCAACAAGCAGGGAGGGGGGACAAAAAAAACTATTAAATAAAAAAATACAAATATTAAAATAAAATATCAAAATAATAATAACAAAATAGAATATTAAAATAATAATATTAAAATAAAATAATACAATAATAATATTAAAATAATAATATTAAAATAAAAAAATGCCCTCCCCTCACCCAGTTTACACACACTACACAAACACACACTGCATTCAGAAATGAACTACAACACATGAACTAAAAATGAAATCATGTTAAACATTTTTTTTTAAAAGATATTACCTCCCTAATAGAATCTACAGCTAAAATCAACCATTATTTCATATTTACTGTAACAAGTGTACACACAGGAGCAGAATAACTCATGGTGGAACATCAACAGAAAAAGTTTGTTATTCCCTAAGGAAAGTGTGGGCACTGTGGATACACACAGAGGTGCTGAATGGTCCACGGTAAAACATAAAGCCTTTCAGAGACACCAGCAAAATCTTTGTGCTGAGAGCTTTGAGGATAAGCTTCATTACACATTATGGAGAAACCTACTCAATGTTTTTGAGTAAATACTGACCAAACTTGTTTTAAGCTTTATTTATTTATTTATTTTATATCCTTACATTGGGAAAGGAGTTTAACTTTAGCTTGGTAATATTTTCCTAAGACTAAGTGACTAAGTCACAAAAGTCAAACTTAATACATAATCCAAATAACATATCTGTTCCCGCCTCTTTTAGTTTAGCAAATCATTCATTATAGTTGAGATCTTTAGTGATGCCAAAATGCAAAGTTAGACCTTTCTTTATGAGATTGTACATATAACATAATGAAAACTTCCATACTTGTGCCACCAGACAGGAGGGGTGAATTTCCATGTTTTCTCAGTAGTAAAGAGAGTGTCTGGGTTTACATGATACGGTCCTTAGCGGGCTTTATTTAGAATCGAGTTGAACAGAGTTTCAGTTAGAAAAGAGCCTTTGAAAAGCTTGAGAAAGGCTATTTTCTTAATCAAAATTTTTCTAAACTCTGATCCTCATTAATGCCTGCTAAGAACCAAACAATGTGCCAAGTCTCTCTCTTTAGTATTTGTATAATAAGCAAAGTTAAATCCAAAGTAGCAGAGTTATTAAAAAGTATCTGAATAGACTTAGAGCTTGTATAAAATATCTATTGTAGCATACATTTTACATGTCAATTAGCATGTCTCCTGAATTTTCTGCTAGTAAATAAATCACAGAGCTTGTAAACCACAGAACTTGAACAAACCTCTCTTGGGTTAATAATCTAAGCAATAGTTTTTGGTAATTTAAAAATAACAAAAAATGACTTAAAAAAAAAAAAACTCCTACTCAGATGTTTTGCCTTTAGTCTGTAATTTGCACCTCAGTTCAAAACAATTCACTCTTTATTGAGCAAAACCCTGTTGTAAAACATTGCTGCTTGCTTCTCATCTCAGTTTAATCCAAAGTCCATTCAGGACTATTCAATGAAGAAAGAATTTAAAGTGAATTAAAGTGAATTTTACATTTAAGATCAAAATAGCTGAACCGTTAACATTCTCTAAGTCAGTTGTGCTTCCAGTATGGCTACTTTGATCTTAAATGTTGTATTCAGTTTGAATTCATTATAAATTTCCACGTTAATGAATAAATCTGGCTGTCTCCATGATTCATTTTATATAATTATTTATAATGTCCTTGTATCTCCAGCAGGTGGAGTGAGAAGAGAAGGGACACAATGTATTATTACAGAGAATTGTTTTAATGACACATGGAATGTAGATATTCAGTGCTAAGAAAATGTATAAATACTCCAAAGTTTTCAACAATATTATTAATAATACCATGAAATATAGGCACTTTCTGTAGAAAAATGTAATGATAGCTAATTTTCAACGGTGAAATGGACACCTATAATATAATCCTTTTCTTACTGAGACAGGAATGTGAAAAATATATCAATGAAAAATAAATCATATCCAATTTAATTCACGATAGAAGGATTCTCATATTCACCACAACTTCTGTTTCCTCTATTTATAGCATTTCTCTCTGTTTCCTCCCTCACTGTATGGAGCAATCCTACTGTTTTTGCATCTATAATTTTGGACTCTCATTTCCACATACCAATTGTCATGATCCTGAGCAGGTCAAAGAGGAGACGATTGCAAGGGTTATTGGTTAAAACTTTATTTGTCGTATTATACATAACAAATTTACTGAAATAAAGAATAAAGGGCAGTCTGCCACAAACAGGATACTTTGTGAGAAAAAACAGGGTTTAGGCGATATGCCACAAACAAGATCTTTAGAAAAGTAAATGAATAAAGTCTTTTGTATACAAGCAGGCTTGAAGTTATACCTAGTAGTTAAGGATTTCCAGGATACTTTGCAATGCAGCTGGTTATAGGTAAATACATTTTAGGATAAGACAAAACAGGATCATGCAGAGGTTGAACCAGGTGGGTATATTCCAAAATAATATAATGCAGGTTGCTTACAAGATCATGCAGTGATGCAGCAATTGAAGCAGTTAAGATTCTTCAATTAAGGCAATACGCCACAAATCAGGATTTTTGGAAGCGGATAAGGAAAGTCTTTCGGTAAGATGTAATCCAGGCAAGTTCAGGATGAAGTAATGCAGGTTAGTGGCTTTCAGTATGAGGAAATGCAGATGAGTGCAGGATGAGGCACTGCATGTAAGTTCTCTACAGAATAAAATAATGTAGATAAAATACAGGATATTACCAGGAACAAAGATTCTTTATCAGAGCATAGACTTCAATGTCAAGGCGCTGTTGTGTGCCGGGAGTAAACTTATCAAGCCTCCTAATTAGTTAATACAGGTTATTAAGGTGAGTGAATAGATTAGTGGCCAGGGAAGTCACTAGAGGAGAAAATCATGAAGTTCACTTAAAGGGCCAGTAATAAACGAAAAAGTCTTACATGTCAGTTTCGAAACCTGACACCAATGTACATCTTCTTGTGTAACCTATTAATTCTAGACATCTTACACATCGACCATTCTACCCAAACTGCTGGACATGCTTCTCCCTCAATGTAAGACCATATCCTTTGTAGGGTGCATGGTTCAGATGTATTCCTTCATGACATTTGCTTGTACATAATTCATTCTACTGAATGTCACCCTCTTCATTATTCTCTACTTAGGATCCTAAAGAACTGTGGTCAACTTGCACCTGCAGTTTGGGTAGTTGGTCTGTTGGTTCCAGTTATGCATACTGTTTTAATTACTA